AAATTCAAAGAAAACCCTACTTTCTCCAGTGGTCGCCTTTTCCTAGAACATCGACGACCCAGTACATCAAATTGGAACGTGACCGCCAAAAAAGTCCTGATAATACGATCTTGCCCCTCCTACCTGAGTAGACCGGAGAACATTGCACCAGAACTCATGGGATGCAGCGGGTCGACCAGGGTGAAGTCTGTCGAGCTCTACTTTAACCATAAACAGTTTATAGAACTATTCTGGAGAAACTGCCTCGGGGATGGTTTGGTCCATGAAAGGATCGGTCTCAATTGCTTTTCGATTTTTCAGGCTCTGACGAAGGCGAAGAGGCCGAAACGTAAGCCTAATGAAAGGTACTGAATCTTGAACAGGCTACAACAAAACCCTACGCATCAAATCTGCACGTTCTCAGAGCAGGTGCTCCTGCATGTAAGAGCCTGGGATGGACCGCCACATATGGCTAAGTCGGATCACCCTCAACCAAAAGCTTTGCCCAGTAGCGAATATGCTGTTGTTCTGGAGCTCTAGCAGGGCCCGAACAAGGAGAAACTCGCGTTTGTATGAGTCTGAACCTAATTCCACGAGGTGTGGGAGAAACGTCGCAAGCCGCTTTCGTCCAGGCAACCACTCTGTCTGGATCTTTCGCTTGTCACTCGATTTACGACAACATTGGTGAAGTTCTAACGATTCGTTGAATATCTTCGGGACAACACTAGGAAACTGGAGAGCTTTGAAAGCTTGTTCCTACAGGTCATTGGGTTCGAAATGGAGGTAGGTATGGACCAGTGATTAAAAAAAACACTGAAAACTTCTTAGCGATATTGTAAGATACGGGGTCATTGTGGTAGCAATGCACCCTGAATCACGTGGAATATCTGCTTTTGATTGGAATAGGATTGAGCCTCAGGCGGGGAGGCGATACTACAGGATGCGCTAGCAATTTTCATTTTCCCCAACGTTCCTGCGCCCCCCTAAGCTTGCTCCTACAGGAGTCTCCCTATCTTGCAATAGCGTCAACTTTTGAATTCACAAGGCGCGCCCAGCGTATGGGCGGGATTTGCGCTCTGCCGCTGGAATCTCATTGGTTGAATCAATTACCGATTAGCAACCTTTGTTAGATTACATGGTACTATGCCTTTAGGCTTATTCAATCTGCGTATGCCTTAGTCGGGGAAGTACTCGGAGTGACTCGAGGCCTGCCGGGCTGGAATTGCCGAACTGGGCGAGCATCGCGAACAAAGGCAGCTTTCTTATTTTCACTCTTGCTTACGTCTATGCGTCTGAGGTAGAAATAATCAAGGGAACCATGAGAAAACAGCGGAGTTGGCTAAAGGATGGCTGTCTGCAAGAGCACACACAGCTTTATTGTCAGCCACCTCTGCCGGACTAATGAGTGTTTCCGCCATCAATACGGAATAAGCAGTGTGGGAGAAGAAGCAGTCCGGGGATAGAAGTGTGGAAAATCTCTCCCGATGTCCATTATAATCTGGCCGTTGACCTATCTCAAAACCTTCCAAGCCAAAATGGAAGGCCGTGCCACTGACTTCGCATCCACACCAGGCACGGACATACTTATCGCCTGAGGTAAAGCATCGTCAGGACGAGCTCTCTAGAGCCGGCCCGACGATTACACATGGGGCATTTACTAAGCAGCGCATTGTCGAACTATGTGCAACATCGGTTTTTCAGTACAAAACGGATACCAAGCCCTATGCAAGAGGAAGAGCTCCAGGGAGCGTGGTCGCAGTTTCCATTTTGCCCGGTGTTAGTTCCCGCCTCGTCCTCCGTCTTAGTTCAAGAGGAATGCCCCGCGTAATTGTGATAGGCGGCTTGTGAGAATCGGAATCTTCTGAAGCTCTCATCTATTTTTCGAAAAAAATTAAAGGGAGCGGCATCATCTGTTCCGAAACACTTGCTGTCCGACCTACAGAATTTTACAATGTTTTCCAGCTAAGAATTGTGAAATACTGAAATAGTGACAACCTACGAATAAGCACCTCTAGCTATAATACAGTACGATCGATCTTATCCATACGGTAGTGAAACTCGCAACAGTACTCCGCAAGCGTCATACGACCGGATTTTCGCGACATTCGTACAATCCTTCAAAAGCGAGAAAGTGTCGGGTGCAGACCATGCACCACAAGTGACGACGGCCTTCACAAATAATGTTTTCTGCCAATGAAATGATTAGCCTGTTGCAGTTGTATTCTATCGATTGTCACTAATTACAACTATCATTTACCAGAAATCAGCTATCACTATGAACAACTTCTAACAGATTTACTTGGAGGCCGTCGTCAGTTGTGGTGTTTGGTCTGCACCCGACACTTTCTCTTCGCTTTGAAGGGTGGTAATTTTCGAATGTTGGCCCTGAGACGGATAGAGTGCGGACAGTGGGCTAAATCAACGTCAGGGAAGCGAGTTGTGCATTCTTCAAGAAGATCATCTTGAACTTGAAGAAAGGGAGTCTGACGAAGATACGCCAGCTTCTGCAAAACTTTCGCTGCTGAAAACGCCCACACATCTCGGAACGAAAAGGAACAGAGGGTGATGTGAGCCGGACACGTTGTTTCATTTGATAGGAACCGCTGGACTAGATAAATGCGTCTAACGGGACCTCTCAAAATGTCAAACGAACATGTGAAGGATTGCCGATCTCAAACTTTTTTGTGGAAACCCAGAAAGAACAGCCTGTAAAGCAATCTATACCCCTCAAACGCAAAGTCCAGGATCGAATTGGTGTGCCATAAAACGGTGGAAATGAAAAATGGCCAGTAATGAAAAAGCGTGAAAACTTTGATGAGGCCGAGAATAAAAACCCCTCTCTAGTAGCAACACAATAGCACTTATTCGGGGGCGGGGTCTGTTGTGGTGGGTGGAGCAATGATGAATCCTCGGGTATTAGAACTTCTGCCTTGATAAGCTCTGACGCCAAGTGGGTATATGCTGTGCGCTTGCGTACCACTCTGTAGTTCTGCAAGGGGTTCTGCTTCGCCCGGAAAGTCTGACTTTACTTTCCAAGGGAAGGGATCTAAAAATTACCCCATAATCTTGCAAGTATGAATGGAAAAGCTTGATAATGACCTCCCTTCGAGTTATTAGAAAACATGTTGGTACCATATTGAAGTCGCCCAGGTATCGATCGAGCGTCCGTTTAGTGGGTTTCACTTTGAGACGACAACGAGAGCTAGAGCTTCACAACTTCGGACATCAGGGCCATATCGAAAGTGAAAGACGTCCTCCTTCACGTCGATGAGGCAAAACACAGATTCGCTGGTCATTTGATGAGGAGAAATGATGGCAGATGGAGTGCTGCAACTGTGCGATGGTACCCGCGCGAAAAGAAACGGCCACCCGGCCGTCCTCCAGTACGTTGGGCAGACTCTCTAGCTTATCGCAATAATCCCGTGTCCCTTAAGGTGTCTGTTCATTGGACAACCATAGCTCAAGACCGAGAACGATGGAAGAGAAGCTGGGACCCGCGCAAGGCCAACCGCCAAGCAGATGGACGGGTCGTCTAAGTATCTAGAGTAAGTAAGTATGACAATGATATAACAGAATTTCCTCGAAGGAAGAATCGGGTAAGCGCAAGACTCCCTGTTGAAACCTCCACGTGTTGAAAGGCACCGTTGGAACGCATGGTGTGCCCATTGCGCTTTTAGGCGTCCCTCCCCCCGAGGAGGCCTGTCGCGCGGTCAAGAAGCGAGAGTCTAGCAGACGAGTTGCCGCGGTACTATAGGAATTGGCGACCAGCAGTTAATTAGAGTGTTCCTCTGCAGGTCGTCTTCCCATCTGCAACACCAGCGCTCAAACTCGTCGGCGACTGCTACCGCCTGCCGCGCGGGGCTCCTGTGGTCTTCCGCCCTTGTAAGTAGACGTGGAACATAGTGAGGTAAGGGTATGTTGGGAATGGAAGACGAAGAAAACGAGTCAGACTGAAAATAAGTGCGCGACGAACTTTCTCTTGTTTGGTGTGGCGCGGACGTATGGTGTGGGCGGAGCACCCTTGGTAACCTCGGCCGGCCTCGACTCGCCAGCCCTGTAATCAAGGATCCAAGTGGATATTCTAGTTCTCCGCAGAACAACGTGCGTCAGAAATGGCGAGTGTTCCTTTAGGCGATTCCTTCTCTACATAAAATATGATAACTGCTCTCCGGAGTTTGAACAGCACTTTAAGCCGGAGCCACGAACTTAATGATCAAGAGATGGCGAGCCAAGATGAGGCTAGTACTGTAACGCGGAGACGAATTCTTCCACTCATGTCCCTAATACTTACACAAATTTCAAAAATGACAGGTGTCCGGAAGACCGCTGTCCTTGGGTGATCACTGAGGCTTGAACTTTACCAAGTGCCGTGTGATAAAGGTAAGCACTAATGAACAACCCTAGCCGAACAGCCAACCTAACAAATGTCACTCACCTGCATAATTACCTGCACTTTTGTGCTCGTTACCCACATCTACTCTGGGTAAATGACTAATCAAGAAACAAGCGTAAATTCAAACATACCATCGATGACGTCGGTGCAGTGTTGTTGTGCTGTAGTGCGATCTTCTAAACTGGAAATACCGTGCATTTTCTTGAGTGAACTGACTCGTCCAAGGTTGCTTGTTGACTGAAATTGTGAACAAATGGTTTGTTCGACTGAATGCCTGTGCCCGTTTTCGGCGCAATGTGGTCCCGCAAGGGGCAGTCTGTGGGAAGCCCGCCAGGACCAGCTTAACGGGAGGGATAAACTTCCAGAGAGAATGAGAATTGCTTACGGAAGCTGGGATTCCCTCTTCTAGCCCAAGCATTATTCCTAAAATTGAGCTCGTCGCATGCAATCTGACGCAATTACGCGCGGCTGCTCCCAACCCTTCCATTCCAGAGCCATTGCGCCCCGTTTTTCTGTCCACTAGCCTCGTAGCATACGGTTGAGTTTCTTCAAAGAATCGATCAACCACCATTTCCATTTCTAGGTCTACTTAAGGATACCGTGCGATCAGTGTCATTGAAGAAATCCCTCTCGTGGATCTTATGGAGGGTCTTCAAACCGCAATAACAGAAGTCGTGCTAGTCCAGCGCCTCAAAAAGCGCCGCTACAGAGGCTCAGGAATAATCCTTGCACGCTATATCGGTCTGTCTATGGGCCCGTCTATGTTCCCGTGCATGGTCACCGTTATGGCGTCTGTGTCTTGCTACCCGCTATGCTCTCTGGCGTTTCGAAGTCTCGTCTATCTCTATATGCACCCTATCCTCTTTTTCCCTGTCTGCTGTTTAGGGCTGCATCACAATAAGGAAGCTTGTACCTCCGGCACTTTTAACCCTTAATTTCTCCTTTTTGCTCAAGTGTCGGCCCACATTAAGTTTTCTATCATATTTGAGTGAGACTAATCAATCAAATTGATCGCGGGCTGTGCCTTTTACAGTTTTATCACTGAACACGTGATCTTTACTGACAACTGGTAGTGGTATCCTGCCGATATTAATTATGAGTTGGTGTTGATTTACTGATCTCGGTTCTAGCCGCCACCCCGAGTCGAATATACAGCCAAGTGCTCAGTCAGTTGCCAAAGATTCCGTGCTTTCATCGCTCAGCAAGATTGAATCCGGTAGCGTGCGTACCCAAGCCGGGGTGATACCATAACACCAACAGGGCCATGTTTGACCTTTGTCTAGCTTTTGTTGGTATATGACGGTCCGAACTAGACTTCTGGCCGTAGCAATGAGTCGCGCCTCACAAATTGCACATTACTGCGATTATCTAATAAACTTGTTGTCGTAGTTCCATTTATCGCCCCTACGTTTCAAGATTTAAATCATTGCGAGATAATCGCAATCTCGAACTCGAGACAGAGTTTGCAGTAGCTCGGAATGCAATCAGCACCTTAAAAGGTACTCTGAAATAGTATATACTCCACCATCTCCATTGGCGTAAACGTAACCAGTTGGAGCGCCTTGGCTCACTCGAGGGAGGAGGGGAGGTGGAGAGCGCCTTGAATGTACTTCGATGAGTTACCGCTTGGCGCTGCACTGCTAAAGGGTCTCAGTGCAAAGACTAGGAGGGAAGGAATAGCGAGAGAATGAAGATGGTCAGGAGTTGAAGCTCCTCCTTTCTCAAGGCCGCGAGTACTATTCTAGCAGCTCAGGTCAACTCAACGAGGTGAGTTCTGTGCAACAGGGCTGGGAATGATCTACATTCATGGGCAGGGACAACGGCAGAAAGGGCGGGTTTTCGAGTGTTTTTCGTGTTTTCCAGGCCACCGCGCTGTAATGTGTACGCTAGTGATGTCGCTATAGTCCAACAGAACTGTATACTCGCTCAATTATTATATGCGCATAAATACAGAGTAAACATACCTTGGCTACTGTGGGGTTACCGGTGAGCAGCTGTCGGAAGCCGCCTTGTCCCAGGCCATTCATTCGCATCCAGTTCATGGAAATCTGAATCCACAGTCGTTAAAACAGCCAAATGTGTTGCTATGTAAAGCTCCTACTTGGGCCACATCCGTGTTCGAGTCAAAGGAAGACTGAGGTGAACGACCGCCCAGCGCGGAACCACCGGTTGCGACACCTGGAATACTGTTCTTCCTCATTTCAGAATGACAGACTAATGAAGGTAGAAAAGCATTTCAGGAGAGAAAACAGATTTCAGGAATTGACAAAAAACCAAAACACAAATCTCTTGAAACTTTATAAAAAAAATTTAAAAAAGAATATCACGTCCACTATGACGTCATTTCGAGATGGCCATAATTTCTTCGAGGAATAGAAACTGACTCACCCGATATTCCGGCTCGACGTTTTCGTTGTTGGCGAAACTGAAAGATGTTGAATCAATTTTTTCTAAACAAAATCTAAGGAATAAGTTCATCTACTTCTCTGCTTTTCTTTAGAAGAGTTTGCATGGTAAACGTCTCCCGTGGGGTCGGCTTATATGTTAACACTTTCCCTCATTTACTTCGGAAATACGCTCAGGAAGAAATCGACAACTAATTGATCGTGTTCAGGAATTGCTTTTGGACAAGCAACGTCCCATGATCTCAAATTTTGATGGGTGACCTTCGAATGAATGGCCTTTGAATTAATGGTCTGTACTGAAAATTGATAACAATGGTGAGACAATGCTGTATAAGATTGAGGACGACACGGACGTAAGGACCTTCCAAAGCACGTGTTGAAATCGTGTGATTGTTACCAAAGCTCAGGCGATCAGGCACTAGCAGATGCTTTTTTGAGACTTAGAGTGCTTCAGCGTTGCTAAAACTTGTGGTTTTTCTGGCTATCGACTCAGACTACGACTTGACGGCTTCGTAAGGATCCTAGGATTGCCTATTTGAGAAAGATCGATGCAATAGCTCGGGAGGCAGAAGCTGACTACCTCCCATTCCACAACGTTCCAGCGCTGTGTTCTAGTTTTCGTTTAATCTTCTACATAAGTATTGTAGGCATACTCGCACAGCAGTCATCTACATTCTCAGGCTTGAGTACATTCCGCTCTACGCTCAGTTCTAGACTATGGGTTAGGCCCATGTCAGACCTTGCGAATCGCGGCGATTCGCTAGCGTCTGCGGTCGCGTCGCGGCCAGTGAATCACTCAATTGGCTGGTACCGCAACGCGACCGCGGACGCTAGCGAATCGCGCGAATCGCTAGTAGCGATTCGCAAAGTCTGACATCGGCCTTAGCGAAACTTCTAAGACCTTGTAAATAATATTCTAGTGGTTCAGTGTTTTCTCTTTTTCGGCTCGCAGTGTGCATCACCATGTGGTGCACGTGACTGCAGGAAACCGTCTTTGTTTTGTACATACTAGAATTTCGCCTAAAAATTTCAAAAGCTACTAGGACATGTTTTCTCAATGTACAACGCCATCTCTACCCGCGACTGCGACACCTGAGAAAATATGAGTAGAAAATAGATTGCTTCTGAGTAGTGATTTATGGGTTAGCACTTTTTCATTCAAAATAAATTAACCATAGAGGTTTCTAGCAACATGATATAAACAATAAGTGCGCTGAATAATATAATAATATATTTGATGGTCAGAATACGTGGGTTATACTACGGAATAAAACTCACACTGCCGCGCTCATCGAGGCTGTACATCTGTCGAACTAGGGGAGTTGGCATCGTTCCTATGACGTCAAAAAAGGATTTTATAAGGGGTTTCGCGATGGCAAAGGATAGACACGACGAGTGCACTGATCAATTGATATCATATTAAGAAATGATGGTAAAGCTTAGGCGGTCAGTAACTAAGAGACGCCTATTAAGAAGACAGAAAGCAGGGAAAAGGATTGAAATAGTGCTAGACTTTGCGCCACAGTCCCGTAACCATGCTGGGTGCGTACATTTTCGGGTCACCCAGTTAGGGCGTATGCGCCAGGGTCGGGTTTCTCCCCTTACCGTGGCTACTTTTCGAAAAGTTTTTCGACCCCCCTCTAACAAATCACCCCCCAAAATACGACCCCCCTCTCGGCTAACTTGTACGGAACATAGGGTTGACTCCTGGTAATGCGCGCCATGTGTGCGACATTCGGTGGCCGTCGAACATTCTGCAAGAGGGAGGGGGAATCTTGCCCGAGGGGTGAACCACACAAACCTTCTGGTTCTGGGACAAATTGAATTTTAGGCGTATAATTGTCATACCACAGACCTCCTTACCGAATGAGACCCCATTGTCCTCGGCACTCCCTTCTTTCTACTTACGAGAGCAATTTCCGCTTCATCCTTCAAAAGCCTCATAAGATATTTGTGTGGCAAGTAAAGCATGGGAAAGTAGTCACAAAAGGAACCAGGATAAAGTGAGAAGGGCTGCCCATGGGCAAAGCTGCTGTGGGGCAAAGCCGCTGTGTAAGCGAATTTCGACTGCGATTGCCCGGAAATAAAAAGCTTCCACCAGATTGATGTGATAGAACTTCGAGGCGGAAAGCAACTAGAGGAATGGTTATGAATGCAGCTGCATCAAGAACAGCACTTCCCGGAAGAATTCCCCCATGAACGAGGGCCACAAAAAAGGCGAGTGCATGGGTTTCAAAAGCGTGGAAGGGATTTGAAACTTTACAGCATGGTGTAAAATTTTTATTCAACGATGAGTGAAGACGAAACGCAGTTGCCCAGCTGTTGACAGCCATAGGCGAAACCACCGGAACAAACATTGCAAATAGATGACTCCGTGGAGGAAGCCACTCAAACCATACACATTACTGATGGGGTGTCTTCAAATTTCCGTCTGGATGGGCAATTTCCGTCTTCCTGAGGAAAAATCTTGGGGGATGTACAAATATTTCTATACCCCAAACCCCAGCACAACGGGGTTGGCTTTAAGGCTAGATACGAAGATATCGGTATTCTAGGGATGCCAGCACGTAGACATCTATGAATGATAGCTTCTTTCGCCTATCATGTTGGAAATAAACCAGTGAAAAAGGTGCTAAGCGAGTTGGAGGGGACCACACGGCGGCGCGGCGTCTCAAGAACGGTAGCACTAAACCTGAGCCATTGAAGGAGGCCCAAAAGTGCCAAAAAATGGATCCTGCAAAATCACAAATCACACTGTTCACAGCCTACTTACTCCTTCCTAGGTTCAGGCAGTGCCATGGCGCTTGAGAGATGCCGCCGCCACGTGGTCCCAATCTCTCCCCCTCCTATGTCACATAACACCGGAAAAGCAAAAGCAAAAGCTTGTTAGCACCAAAAAATCGAATTTCTACCACAAATCGAACGGTACTCAAGTGCCAAAATGAAAAGTCAGGATGAGAAAATCCGGAAAATTACCCCGAGGTGGGCCTATTATTCCACAAAGACTGCAGTAATCGAAATGCTTTTAACGAGATTAAAAATTGATTCGATAGTGCGAAAATTGAAGGGGTAGGGCAGTAGACCTAGGGGGAGGGGCAGAGACGCAGAGGTATGCTGGCTAGTTGCCGCTTGGCTACCGTAGCATTTAGCGTTGAATGGTCAGGATGTGCTTCCACTACACCACATGCCGCCAATTCTTCGGCATGATGTCAGAAATTTGATTTTTCTCACAAACATGTGTTTTTTGAGTTCAAGTTGTGAAATCCAATATTGCAAGCATGTTAAAGGGGTAAAGGATAAAACATTTTTGCTTTGATCAACCCCGTGGTGGGAAGGCCGCACCACTTCTACTTTCATTTAGAAGTGAAACAGCAACTGAATGCCAATTGGCCTATACAATGATTTGCAGAGCCAGTCGATACAGAAGTTTTATCTTACCCAGACAATCAGTCTGGTACTAATTTACAAGGCCCGGAGGGATGGAAGGCTTGGTTAGGCCCGGTCGGAGCGCGACCCAGGATTCCGATCCCCGGACCGCGCGCGTAGATAAGCAGCGCCATTGCCACTACACTACTTCCGCTTCTCAAGTAGTTTACCACATTCTAACTTATTTGACGCTAAACTGTTACGGTAACATGACAACTAGATAGTGATGCCTCTGCGCCTCGTGCCCTTAGCCACGCGACAGCAGGGCTGTCACATGCAGAATCGAGCCAGCCTATTGGGCACGGGTGTTCCTCCTGAAAACTAGATTTTCTAATTTGAATATTTAGACAACGAGATGGAGAAGGAGCAGTATATCCATGCCGGTAAATTCGAGAGAGATGAAAGGGTTCCGCGACAAATGGAACCTCTTGAAGCGGTAAGCGCCGTTGTTGACGTCCAGTTGTCTAGAAAGGTCATAGGCTGTCCAAGATCGCTAGTAATTATCACATGGGTGACTTGCCAAAATTTTGGAATGCATGAATTCCGATAGTTGCATACATAAGTAAAGATGAGCAGTCTGAGCGACACTGACAAGGACATGGTGCGTGATCGCGATGAATTGTACGCAAGTTGTGTTGTGGGTATAGCTCGAATGCGTTGCATTCGTTTTGTATATTGTGTGAACAGCCTCTCGTCCCTTGCCCCCCCCAGCGTGTTGTGGCATAGCCAGAGATTATGTAGCGCGTCAAGCTAAGGTCAACCATTAGTGTTAGGGTGAAATCAAAAATTATACAACCTCCTGATTCGAGGTGTCGGTCCCCATGATGACTAGCCCATGACGCGAAGAAACGTCACCCACACGGATGGAGGACGTCTCTCCTACCCCGCCGCACTTTCCCAACACCCTGCAACATCGTTCGCACAACGTAACTGGTTTTACAGCACAGGGGTTTTAAGAGCTTACCTGACGACACTCAACCGCGTTAATGTTGGGTTCCTTCAAGAACTGCTGATGAGGCGGGGCGTTCGCGTCTGGGGGGGGGCGGGATGGGGGATGGAAAAAATAAATGAGCGTGGACATAGTAATTACAACTTTTAAGTTATTGTATTCGCACAGTCCAAACGACACTTGTCAATGAAAATTTGTGATAAACCTTCCCACAAAAAGCGATCCCGACTCCTGTCGAGCGGAACCCCTTTCATCGACATAAACGGACCCGATTTGCGATTTTCATAGCGACAGTTAGCCCTACCGGAACCACCTTCTAAATCACAAATACCGCCCCTATCGGGATCTACCAGACGAACGGCTGACCCTGAAGGCTCCTGACCTTTCTGAGGGGAGGTGACTGCGACGATGGAATCAGGA